ATAGAAGGTCAAATAAAGAGCTTCATAAACAAAAAAAGGCTAAGGGAATACATTAGCACCAAAACAGCACTGCAAGAAATGTTAAAATGAATGCTGTAATTATTAGAAGAAATAGGAAGAAAAATATAACCAAACTAAACAAAAATAGCAATAAATAAGTACATATCAATAATCACCTTAAATGAAAATGGATTGAATGCTCCGATAATAAGACACAGAGTAGCTGATTGGATAAGCAAGTATGACTCATCTATATGTTGTTTACAGGAGACCTACCTCACAACAAAAGACTCAAACAGGTTGAAAGGGAAGGGATGGAAAAAAATCTTCCAAGCAAACAGAAAGGAAAAAAAAGCTGGGGTAGCAATACTCATATATGATAAAATAGATTTCAAAATGAAGACCATAACGAGAAACAAAAAAGGCCACTACATAATATTGAAAGGATCTATCCAACAGGAAGATATAACCTGGATAAACATTTCTGCACCCAATATAGGAGCACCAAAATATATATAAAATCTTCTAGAGGACATCATAGGAGAAATCGACAGCAATACAATCATAGCAGGAGACCTCAACACCCCGCTGACACCACTGGATAGATCCTCTAGACAAAAAATTGGAAAGGAAACAGAGACTCTAAATGACGCACTAGACCAAATGGATTAAATAGATATCTGCCGAGTAATACACCCCAAAACTACAGAATTCACATTCTTCTCAAGTGCATATGGGACATTCTCAAAGATAGACCCCATAATAGGACACAAACTAAATCTCTACAAGTTCAAGAAAATTGAAATCATATCAAACATCTTCTGAGATCACAATGGTATGAAACTAGAAATCAATTGCAACAAAAAAATTCAGACATTTGAAAACATGGAGGATAAATAGCATATTATTGAACAATGAATGGGTTACCGAGGAGATCAAGGAAGAAATTAAAAACTTCCTGGAAACCAAAGAAAGTGAACACACAACAACACAAAATCTGGGGGTGTATCAAAAGGAGTTCTGAGAGGGAAGTTCAAAGCACTACAGGCCTACCTCAAAAAAGAAGAAAAATCTCTAATTGATTTTCTAACCTCACAACTTACAGAATTAGAAAGCAAACAAAAAGAAAACCCCAGAGCAAGTAGAAGGAAGGAAATAGTAAAGATCAGAGCAGAAATAAATGACATAGAGACGAAAAATACAATTCAAAGGATTAATGAAACAAACAGTTGATTTTTCGAAAAGATAAACAAGATTGATGGAGCCTTAGCTAGACTCACCAAGACACAAAGAGAGAGAACCGAAATGCACAAAATCAGAAATGAAAGAAGAGAAGTAACAACGGACACCACAGAAATACAAAAGATAGTTAACAGCTACTATAAACAATTATATAACAACAAACTCGACAATCTAAGCGAAATGGACAAATTTCCAGAACAAAAGTCTCCCAAACCTGGACCAGGAAGAGATACAAAACTTGAACAGACCAATAACAACTAAGGAAATTGAAAAGGTAATCAAGACTACCCTAGCAAACAAAAGTCCAGGCCCAGATGGCTTCATGGGGGAGTTTTACCAAACATGCAAAGAAGAACTAACACCCATTCTCCTCAAACTATTTCAAAAATTCAAGAAGAAGGGAGACTTCCAAACTTGTTTTATGAGGCCAGCATAATTCTAATTCTAAAATGAGAAAAAGACACTACAAAGAAAGAAAACTACAGGTCAATATCCCTGATGAACATAGACGCCGAAATTCTGAAAAAAATACTATCAAATTGGATCCAGCAATTCATCAAAAAATTTATTCACCAAGACCAAGTGGGATTCATCCCAGGGATGCAAGGCTGGTACAATATTCACTAATCAATAAATGTGATACACCACATAAACAAAACGAAGAATAAAAACCACATGATCATATCAATAGACGCTAAAGAAGCAATTGACAAAATCCAGCATAAATTTCTAATAAAAACATTCGGCAATGTGGGATTAGAGGGATCATATCTCGACATAATAAAGGCCATATATGAAAGACCTATAGCCAACATCATACTCAATGGGCAGAAACTAAAAACATTTCCCTTAAGAACAGGAACAGGACAGGGATGTCCACTTTCACCACTCTTATTTATCATTGTACTCGAAGTCTTAGCCACAGCAATCAGACATGAAGAAAAAATAAAAGGGATCCAAATTGGAAAAGTGGAAGTGAAACTGTCATTATTTGCAGATGACATGATATTATACATAGAAAACCCTAAGGACTCCATCAAAAATCTAATAGACTTAATAAATGAATTTGGCAAAGTGGCAGGATACAAAATTAACATCAAGAAATCGACGGCATTCTTATACACCAATGATGAACTCACAGAAAGAGAAACTGAAAAAACAACACCATTTACCATCGCAGAAAAAAATTAAGATACCTAGGAAGAAACTTAACCAAAGAAGTAAAGGACCTATGTGCAGAAAACTACAGCACATTGAAAAAAGAAATAGAGGAAGATATAAAAAAGGTGGAAGCACATACCTTGCTCATGGATTGGAAGAATTAACATAATTCAAATGTCCATATTACCCATAGCACTCTATAGATTCAATGTAATCCCCATCAAAATACTAATGACATATTTCACAGAACTAGAACAAATACTTCAAAAGTTCATATGGAACCAAAACAGACTCCAAATAGCCACAACAATTTTGAAAAAGAAAGACAAAGTAGGTGGGATCACAATACCAGATATCAGGTTATACTACAAAGCAACTGTAATCAAAACAGCCTGGTACTGGCACAAGATCCGGCATATAGACCAGTGGAACAGAATAGAGAACCCAGAAATGGACCCAAGGCAATATGCTCAATTAATATTTGAGAAAGGGGACAAGAGCATACAGTGGAGTAAAGACAGCCTCTTTAATAAATGGCGTTGGGAAAATTGGACAGCTACATGCAAAAAAATGAAACTAGACCATCAACTTACACCATACACAAAAAGAAACTCAAAATGGGTAAAAGACTTAAATGTGACCCATGAATTCATAAAAGTTCTAGGAGAAAATGTAGGCAACAAAATTTCAGACATCATATGCAGTACAATTTTCAATGATACATCACCTAAGGCAATAGAAACAAAGGAGAAAATGAACACATGGGACTACATCAAACTCAAAAGCTTCTGCACAGCAAAAGAAAAAGCCATCAAAATGGAAAGGCAACCCACTGTATGGGAGAACAGCACTGCCAATGATACATCAAATAAGGGGTTAGTTTCCAAAATATATAGAGTACTCATACAACTCAACAAAAGGAAGACAAAGAACCCAATTATAAAATGGGCAGAGAAGCTGAATAGACACCTCTCCAAACAGGACATACAAATGGTCAAGAATCATATGAAGAAATGCTCAACATCACTAATCATCAGAGAGATGCAAATTAAAACAACAATGAGGTATCACCTCACACCTTTCAGAATGGCGGCCAACAAATCATCAAACAAGTGTTGGCGATGGTGTGGAGAAAAGGGGACCCTAGTACACTGCTGGTGGGAATGCAGACTGGTACAGCCACTATGGAAAACGATATGGTGTTACCTCAAAAAATTAAAAATTGAGCTGACATTTGACCCAGTGTTCCCACTTCTAGGAATATACCCTAAGAAGCCTGAAACCCCAATCAGAAAGAATATATGTACCCCCATGTTCATAGCAGCAGTATTAACAATAGCTAAGATGTGGGAATAGCCCAAGTGTCCATCAGTAGACAAATGGATAACAAAGCCGTGGTACACATACACAATGGAGTACTATGCATCTGTAAGAAATAAAGATCTCTTATCCTTTGAGACAACATGGAGGGACCTGGAAAGTATTATCCTAAGTGAAACAAGCAAAACAGAAAAAGACAAATACCACATGATCTCATGTATATATGGACTATAATGAATATAACAGTCTGTGGAATAGGTACGATAGACCCAGAAACACAGAATTAGGGTACAAACTGACAACCCTCAGAAGAGTTGGTGGTGGGGGGTGGGAAGAGATAAACCACAGAACTTATATGCATGTATGCATGACCAATGGACATGGACAACAAAGCCAGGGATGGGGGCAGGAGGGGAGGGGAGGAGGGTGTCAATGGGGTAAAAAAGAGAAACATCTGTAACAAAAATAAAATTTAAAAAATAAATAAATAAAAATAAACTAATAAAAATAAATAATAAATAAAATATAGCATAGGAAATGTAGTCAATAATATTGTAATAGCTGTGTATGGTTGCAAGGTGGAAACTGACAATATTGGGGAGTGGCAGAAAAACTTTGTGAAGTAGATGATTGTCCAACAACTATGCTACACACCTGAAACTAATACAAAATAATACTCCTTGTAAATTGCAATTGACAAAATAAAGGATGTCTATTGATTTTACATTCATTCACACAATGTCTTTTTCATTGCCAAAAATAAGCATTTGGGGACAGCCTAGCCAGAGAGAGAAATGCTTGCTGACCAAGAAAAAGACCAAAGTGAAACTCTGATGCTTAAATCATGATGCTGATTTAATCACCCATTATATAATTCAATTCACTTCTAAAGAGTTTATATATATCCCAAGTAATTTGGAATCTGATAAAAAGCATACTACATATTTATGACATGTATCTGAAAAAAGCATACAACTTATCTACTGCTATTATGAGCTAAAATGACTATCAACAAATAAATCAAGTATTATTTAGAACACAGGAATAAAAAAGACGCCTAAGCAAGAATTAAATATAATTATGTTAGTATATTCTAATTGTATATGTAACTTTACATTTCTCTCTTAAGTATTTCCTATTGTCTTTTAGCAGTCAGTCTCTTCAAATATTTTATAAATGGCCCTATTGTTTACTGAAAACTTCACTTACTTTATATAAAAATATTTAATGAAATTTAATGGTTATAAAATGTGCCTAATCTCATTACTAAAAAATACCTGTTCTTTTGCTCTTGCTGCAATAACTGAGTGGCTACTTTCTTTAAATCAGTTACTTCCTTCAAATCATCATCCTCTTCTTCTGCAAGTAACTGTTCTTTCCCAACTCTGAAAGATGACACAAAATGGTTATCCAAAAAGTAAGACTAAATATTTTTTTTCATTTATTTTATTTTTGTTTTTATTTATTGAATTAATTGGGGTGACATTTGTTAATACAATTATATAGGTTTCAGGTCTACAATTCATACATCTTTTGTATATTGTATTGTGTTTTCACCACCCAAGTCAATTCTCTTTTTATTTTATGCCTGCTTAGAATTAGAAGCTAATTTTTGTTTTTAATGCTATGTGTAAGCTAAACTCTTAATGGCTTTGTATTTAAAACATTAAAATAAGAAATAAGGAATATTTAAAGAATATAAAAACATAACTATCCTCCCTACTAAACAGAAAATGTGGCATACTGGTTATTTTAATATAATTAATGACTGACAAAGTGAACTGTAGTATTATTTTATAATTTGAAAAATGTATAATGGCCATAGAAGTTTGATAATCATACTGCCCAGAAATGTGTGTAATAAGAACTGCAGAGGTCTATGTGGACAGCGTTTATAAATAAATGTAAAATATTATGAAAATTTCATTTTATTAAACCACCTTGTTCATATTAGTTTATTTATATTGATTTTTAAAATCTCGCTGCAAAATGTTTAAGTAGAGGAAATGCAAAATAGGTTCAAATAAGATGAGCAAATTTGCCATAAAATACCAATTAAAATATATATATTTTTATCATTGAAAGAGAACAAAAATACTTTTAAAATAAAATGTTCACCATGTTCTAGCAATTTTTATTCCAAGGTATTTGATTTTTAAAAAATAACAGTATCAAATCCTAAGGCTTTTTATCTTTACCATAAGTTACATGCCACTGGTGACTCTCAAGTTTAGACAACTGTCCTCCTGAGATACAGTGAAAAACTAAAAGAATTAAATAGAGAATTTAAGAGAAAGCTATGTACATCTTTATGATGTACCAGAGATGATTAATTAACAACTACAGTACATAAAAAGTTACCAATGGAGTCACTTAGAGGAAGCAAAATATAGAGAAAAGAGAAAAGGTTAGGGGTCAGAGAGAGCTCAGTTTACACCTAGGTTCTATTGGACACTAGCTAAGTGGTTCTAGGCAAGAAACTTTAATCTCCAAGCTTCACTTTCCTCACCTATAAAAATGGGGACAATATCTACTCTTCAGGATTTAGTAAAGATTATATAAGAAACAAGGGAAAGCACATAGCACAGATCCTGGTCCATGGCAGGTATTCAATAAGTCAGCAGTTCTCAACCTGTGGGTGGTGACCCCTTTGGGGTTCAAACGACCCTTTCACAGGGGTTGCCTTAGACATAACAGTAGCAAAATTACAGTTATGAAGTAGCAATGAAAATAATTTTATGGTTGGTTGTCACCACAACATGAGGAACTGTATTAAAGGGTCACAGCATTAGGAAGGTTGAGAACCATTGCAAATTAAGTGCCTCTCCCTGCCTTCCTGCAGATAGATATGAAGGAACTTAAAGGAAAATATGTGGTAGGTCATATTATATCATTTCATAGCATAAATGATATAGAAAAGATGCAAAGCACAATTATTTTGATAAAACATGAAAATACCCTTAAAATTACTATAACCAGTCTGATAAAAAGTATATTTTCTCAATAAAAGAGTTAGACTAAGAGTCAGAACACCTAAACTGCAGACATTTGAAATGCTGGGTCTCAGTTTCCTTATTTGTCAAATAATGCCAATACAATCTATTTTAAAGACTTGTTAAAAAGTTCAAATGAGACAATGTATGCAAAGGTACAGTCCTCCTCAGTAATAATTATGGGAGACATTATTATTACATTTCTGGGGGGAAAACAAGGTATATATGACACTCAACTTAAATGCTTACTATAATTTTCAGTTTAATTGAGGAATGCAAGCAGAGAAAGTATTTACAAATTATCTCAATATAGGGTAAATCAAAAGAAAAAACTGTATTCTTTCAAGTAGGAATACCTAAAAATATTTCAAGTATTTATAAGTAACATTTCAATTTGAGAATTTATTTTGCTTACCTATTTTCATCTCCTAATTCTTCATTTTTCTGAGATTTTTCAGGACCTTTTTCTTTTCCCTTACATAAAAGAAAGTTATCATTTTAAATTATATGGTCCATTTTTGTGAGATCAAGGAGAACATGTTATTAATATTTGTTCAAAGTTTTCTTTACCTGAAGGAAAGAGACAAAGGATCCAATATGTGCATCTCCTTGCTCGGGAACTGCTACATCTTCTGTGTTGGGGTCAATAAAATCATACACCTCCTGGTCTAAGTATAGAATAATATTTATTAGAATATATGCATAGTGTCCTCTGACACTGCAGCGCTTAGAATAAAAGTGCATTTTCTCAATAAAAGAGTTGGCCAAAGATAATATTTTTCAAAGCTCATTTTAAATAAAAGATTCATTTTTAAGAAGGGTTTTGTATGTAAAATAAATATAGCAAACACCATATGGATTACCTTTCTGAGAATCAGGTTTATTTCCAATTGAATGGCTGTCATTTCTTGACGTCTGCTCTTTATTTGATTCGGAGACTTGAGAGTGAAGGCTGATTGTGTCATCATCTGATGGCTGAAAGAAATAAGCCCAAGTACCAATGAGGCATTTTAAAATTATAATTAAAAATTAAGTTGCTTTAATTTCACATATGAAGTGTACAATATTTGCTTTACATCTCCAGTTTTCAAATAAAAAATTACTATTTTAAGGTCTACTGTTGGGCTTTTAAAAATGTGCATCTGTTTTCATTTTAAATCATAAAATGTAATGACAATTGTACTTTTAAGCAAAATAAATCAAGTATGTGCAAATGTCTATCTATTTCAAAGCTCTAATAAATTTTTAAAATAAAATAGAGCAGCAATAAAAAATACTTACTTCTGTTGCAGATAATCTTTTCTCTCCATTATCACTTCCAATTCCAGAGTCAGGGCCAGGATTTTTATTTGGATAAAAATCTTCCATGCTACAGAAAAAGAAATTCTAAGATCAGTTAGAGTTTTCTTCTTAAATAGATAATATACAAACTTGACCTAAAATTTTCCTATATTATACAGAATATACACTTTTGATGTCTAAGATCCTTAAGAATATGTGGGGGGAAATGTCAGAAATCTTTCTACAAAAAAACTTTATTTGAGTCCCTCATGAAATATATTTCCTTCATGTGCTTTGTTATAAAGCGTCAATTATTAAGAGCCAACTATTTCTCCTGAGAGATTCAGAAAAGCAGAGAGCCCTGCTACAAAATCATCTTGATAAAAGATCTGTTTTTGCATTGGCTTGACAAATTTTACCAAAGAATGATGAAATATTTCTAAACTTTATACTGTTTCTTCTTCATTAGCTCTAAAAATATGCTTCAACTTTATAAATAACCATTTAATAATTGAGAAAAGAGAAAATACAAAACCAAGTCTGCAAAGAAGTGAATAAGTAAATGTTTTCATGTGAGGTCAGAGCTTTCTTTGCAAATTTCTGAATACACAGTATACCACCCAGTATACCAAACATTCTACATTGACCACTCATCATGTGCCAGGAATTGGGCTAAGTGCTTTAAAGATGACATTTCATATATTCCCTGTGAAAACTCCAGCAGGTTGTTGGTGTTTTCTCATTTTAAAAATGAGGAAACTGAGATTGGAAGGGGTCGAACAATTTACCCAATGACATGTGCTTGCAAATGGCAGTTTAAATTTGAACCCCAAATTATCTGATACTAAAGTCCCTGATCTCAATCACTATACTATATTTCCTCCCCAAATACTGACCTCTGTACTTTTCTGGAGAATATTAATAAACTAGGGAAGCAATTACCAACTGTGAGGCACTATGCTGAATGCCTGAGATGACATGATATGAATTAAAAAATGTTTGACCTCAAAGGGCTCTCAGATCAGAGGGGAAATAAGTATGTTTATATGTTTTGAAGACTATGACAAATGAATATATATAGTGCTATGAGAAAAGAGAAATTAATTCTCCTTGGTAAGGTTTGGAAAGGCTTTACCCAAATAAATGGCATTTGAGCTTAGTCTTAAAGGATAAAAAGATGCAATAATTGCTAATATTTGTTGAACGTCTACACTGTACTAGGTGCTTTGTATTTTTCTTATACTCCTTACATTCTGTAATTTATGCATTATATTTCTTTTTACAAATGAGGATAATAAAACTTATAAAAGTTAACTTTCCAAAAGGAAAATTTATAGCATTTACTGAATATCATTTACTGAAAAAGTGGCCAAGCATACACCTATTTTTTTGTATTACTATTAGTATTGTTATTTTTTTTATTATTAAATACTTCAGGGTTTACATCGAATTGAGCCTTACATTGTACTTTTAAGTATGGTCTTCAAAATTATTTTTAAATCTATTTATCATTTTTTTAATTTAAATTTTATTTTGCAATTGAAATTGACATTTAATATTATTTTGTATTAGTTTTAGGTGTACAGCATAGTGGTGCGACTATCATATACTTTACAATGTGGTCTCCCCAATACTTCCAGTACTCACCTGGCACCGTACATACTTATTACAATATTATTGACTATATTCACTATGCTGTACTTTACATCTCTGTGACTAATGTGTAACTACCAATTGCCAAGCACACATTTAATTCTCACAACAAGCTTATAAAATGGATATTAACAATTTCAATAAAGAAACAAGCTCAGAGAGTAAATAATATACACAGTCCACAAAGAAATTAAGAGGTTGAACTGTGATTAGAGCTGAAATACATCTGACTCCACTGCACAATAATACTATATATTATAATAAAACACATCTGTGTATTTCTAAAAGATGACAATGATAATAAGCTACTTGTTGAGAAATTATTATGGGTAAGGCATCGTGTTAAGTATTACATATACAACATTTCATTTGATAATAATATCATCCATATGCTTATTTTGTTTTTACATATAATAAAACTGAGGAGAAAAAAATAAAAAGAAAACAGAAGACCAAAGACATTATGAAACGAGAACATAGGTTTTAAGAGTCGGGGAAGGGCTTCGCAGATGCATTATGTCTGACTTTATGTCTGACTCCAAAAGCTGATATACTTAACTACTGTACTGCCTACCTTTGTAGAATGAAGAGTTTACAAACTAGTCAAGGCATGGACAGGTATTATAAGTAATAAGAAAAGCATGAATGTGAAAGTGAAATGTACATATAAGAATTTTCTAGGTACTTCAGTACAGACACAAAACAGACGCAACTCATAAGTAAACTCTATTGACCTGCACTGTCCAATAGAGCAGCCATTAGGAGTATATGGCTATTGAGCACTTTAAATGTAGCTAGTCCAAATTGAAAACATGCTGTAAATGTAAATAAAATACACACCAGATTTCAAAGGTTTAATAGAAAAAATGTGAAATAGCTCACTGATTTATATTTAAATCAGATAATGAAATATTTTGGATATTCTAAGTTAAATAATGCGTATTGCTAAAATTAATTTCACCTGTTTCTTTTTTAATTTTTAAAATAATGGATTACAAGAAAGTTTAAAATTCCATATGTACCTCACATTACATTTTTATTCAGTGACAATGGAAAAGATCTTCTCCAAATATAATATTTGATTTTGTCCATTCCTCTTCATCTCTACTGAAATCACCTTGATGAAGAACCCTCAATCTTTTGGCAGTACCGTAACAGCCTAATTAGTCTCTCTGCTTCTATTTTTGTTTACTTCCAATCTAGTCTCCCTATAAAGTGAAGATAGTTTACTTTTAATATGAATCAGACCACGTTATTCTGCAGCTGTCCAAAGAGTTCCCACTGTACTTTAAATACAATTCAAACTCCTTACCGCAGCCTCCAAAGCTCCCATATGACTTGAATCCTAACCAAAATCAACTCATACCATTCTATCCTTTAGCCACTCTGCTTCAACCATGCTAGCCTCCATTCAGTTTTTTATTTTATTTTTATTTTTATATTCTAAGTTTCTTAAATATTTTTTATTAATTGAAAGAATTATAGATGTCCCCCTTTTTTACCCATGGACCCCCTCCTTCCCTCCCTAGCCTAGTATCCATGTCAATTGGTTGTATATATACTGTACACATATAAGTTCTTTGGTTTATCTCTTCCTAGATCTCCCACCCACATCCCTCTGAGGTTTGTCAGTATGCGCCCTACTTGCATGATTCTAGATCTCTTTTAGTCAACAGCTTATTTTGTTCATTATGTTCCACAAAGTGAGATCACATGGTACTTGTCTCTCTGACTGGCTTATTTAACTTAGCATTAATACTTTCCAGGTCTCTCCATGTCGTTTAAAAGAGAAACACTTCTCTCTTCCTTATAGCTGCATAATGTTCCATTGTGTAAATGTACCACAGCTATTTTATGCACTCATCTACTGAGGGGCACTTGGGGTGTTTATAGATCTTAGCTATTGTAAATAGTGTTGCTATGAACTTAGCAGGGTATGTATTCTTCCTGATTGGTGATTCAGACTTATTTGGATATATTCCTAGAAGTGGGATCACTGAGTCAAATGGCAGTTCAATTTTTAATTTTTTGAAGAAACACCATATTGTTTTTCATAGTGGCTGCACCAGTCTGCATTCCCACCAGGAGTGTACTAGAGTACCCTTTCATCACATCCTCCCCAGAATTTTTTGTTTGAAGATTTGTTGATGGCCACCATGCTGGCAGGTGAAAGGCGATATCTTGTAATTGTTTCAAATTGCATCTTTGTGATATAAGTGATGTTGTACATTTTTTTCATATGTCTCCAGGCCATTTGTATGTCCTGTTTGGCGAAGTGTCTATTTAGATCCTCTGTACAGTTTTTAACTGGATTGTTTGTCTTCCTTTTGTTGAGTTGTATGAGTATTCTATATATTTTGTATATTAACCCCTTATCCAATGTATAGTTGGCAAATATGGTTCTCAGAGACAGTGGGTTCCCTTTTCATTTTGATGCTGGTCTCTTTGGTTGTGCAGATGCTTTCAAATTTTATGTAGTCCCATTTATTAATTTTTCCCTCTGTTTCTCTTGCCCTAGGTGATGTGTCAGTGAGAATTCCGCTACATATGATGTCTGAGATTTTTCTACCTACATTTTATACTGGGATTTTTTAAGGTTTCACAGGGCACATTTAAGACTTGTCCTCTTTGCCCTGGCCAGTTTGGCTCAGCGGTTAGAGCGTCGGCCTGCGGTCCTGAGAGACCCGGGTTCGGTTCCCGCTAAGGGCACGTACCTCGGTTGCAGTTTGTCCCCGGCCCTGGTTGGTCGTGTGGGTGGCAGCCACTCGATATGTCCCTTCGCATCGATGTTTCTCTCTCTCTCTCCCTTCCTCTCTCTCCCTGCCACTCTATCTGTACAAAAAATGGAAAAATATCCTCGGGTGAGGAAAAAAAAACAAACAAACAAAAAAAAAAGACTTGTCCTCTTTGAGTTTATTCTTGTGTGTGGTGTAAGTTGGTGGTCTAGTTTCATTTTTTTTTTATATAGCTATACAATTTTCCCAGCATCATTTACCGAAGAGACTGTATTTTTTCCATATTATGCTCTTCCCTCCTTTGTCAAATATCAATTGTGCATACTGTCTTGCATTGACATCTGAGTTCTCTCTTCTGTTCTATTGATATATAAGTCTATTCTTGTGCCAATACCAGACTGTTCTGATTACGATGGCTTTGTAGTATAACTTCATATCTGGTATTGTGATCCTTCCCATATTGTTCTTCCTTTTAAATATTGCTGTGACTATTTGGGTCTTTTATGGTTCCATATAAACTCTTGGAGTATGTATTCTAGATCTGTGAAATATGTCATTGGTACTTTAACAGGAATTGCATTGGATCTGTAGATTGCTTTGGGTAGTATGGACATTTTGATGTTGATTTTTCTGATCCATAAACATGGTATATGTTTCCACTTTTTCATATCTTCCTCTCTCTCTTTTTTCAATGTCCTGT